TCAAAAGAACACTTGAGCAGCACCCATAGAGCGAACCAGTTTTCTATGATTTGCCTGAACATTGACTTGTACACCAGTACCAATCGTTGTTTCTGGGAAGCCAGAGTCTTGACGCATTTTGTACCAAGCAGCAACGATTCGAGTTACCATATTAGACAGACGTTCTTTCTTCACCTTTTTGTCATGAACAGCATTTGTCAGATTCTTGCCAAAATAAGAAGCATTAGCCTTAAAATCAAAGCCAATAGTACCTGGCATGTCCATATCAAGACCATGATTAGCAGCATTAACAGTAGAATGTGTAGCGCCCCAATCTGACTGGACAAATCCCTTAAAGCCAAGCTCGCCTTTCAAAACTGTATTCAAGGTATGATCATCTTCACAGGCATGTGTACCATTAATGATATTGTAAGAGCACATGATAGAACCTACACCAGCTTCAACAGCACGAGCAAATGGCCAAAGATATACTTCGTGGAAAGATCTATCATCAATATCAGAAGAAGAAGTGGTTCTGTTCAACTCTTGATCATTGAGAATATAGTGTTTGGCAGTAGCAATAACACCTTCTTCTTGAATACCCTTGATAGTTTCAGCAGCAACACCACTCAAAAAAGGATCTTCACCACTTGCTTCCCATCCACGACCACCTTCGGGAGATCTCATCAGGTTCATAACTGGACCCAACTGAATGTGAGCACCTTTTCCTCGGAATTCTTGACCCATGTATCGACCACGTTCATAGATAGCATTCTTGTCAAAAGAAGCAGCAGCATTAATACCAGCAACTCCAGCAGTAATATTGTCAGCCAAACGAACACCCAAGGGACCATCTTGTAAGCATAGTGAAGGAAAATCAGGACTCTCGATCGCATATGTCTGACCAACACATAGCCCCTTACTCCATCCTTGACCAGTAGTAATTTTGACCATTTGCTCAACAGACATTTGATCCACGAGCTTTTCTGCCTTGGAATAAGCCTCTTTCCAACTTAATGGCGTAATTTTAGCATTTGCCAGAAGACTAAAAGAATCAAGTAGCAATAGGAACGGAATGACAGCCTTGGAGAGAGGAACAGATTTCATTTGAAAAATAATATTGTGTTGAAAAAAAAAAAAGGGTTTTAACTTGATCTTTTTATAGTGTTTGTAATAAACTGATCACTTAGAATCAAAGTTTTACTGAATAAACATGTATTCAAGTGAATTTACCATAGAAAAGTCTTTTTTTTTTCGCACAAGCTTACATCCGAGGGCTTTTCTACACTTCTCATGAGTATAAAGCCGATTAAAAGAATACAAGACACCTTTTTCCCGCCCTTTTCATCATCTGTCATGACATCTACAAACGAAAAGCAAAGATTGTGTGGGAAAGAGAAATAGAAAAATCCATCATTAACCGAGGAAAAAAGGCTGCTACTATAATGGCGGGATAAAGCCAATAATGGCTAAAAAGGGACGAGGATTCGCTTGAAGAAGAAAAAAAATGGGATTTTTGAGGCACAAATTAAAGTTTGATCTAGATCTGATTAAAGAAAAAATTCAGAATAATAAACAACTTAAAAAGAGATGGTGATATTTTTATAACTACACAACTAAAAATGAAACTCCCAGGTACGTTTACTGTATTTCTATCAAATACATTTGCAAGTAGACATCAACCCGACCTATTTCTTTGTGACACTGGTAAAAGCAACGTGACATGTGTCATAATAACAATTCCCCATTAAATAATTAATTTTCTGTTATTCCGTCATTTTTTTTTCAGTGAATAGGAAGACTATTCCAAAAGAAGGTTCAATTCTCAAGCTTCTTTGATGAACCCATAGGTCTATCTAAAGAGCGAAATTACTGACTATATAAATTAATACAACTAGTAAATTCATCGTATTTAGGTTTTCCAATATATTTTAGAAAATAAAACGTATCTCGTGAAAATCACAATCTCTCTGTCTAGTTTTTTGATTGACTTTGCGTTATGAAAATTCAGTTGCACATAAAATAATACAGCCAGTTACAATAACATGGTAGCACATCTGGTAGAACAGATGATAATTTCTGGAAAAATGTTATTACTAATCATAGATATTACTTAAGTTCTCATAAACTAATTTGCTTCTTGACATGCATTTCTTTGGGAGAGCACTTAGTCTATGCTAATGTACACTCCAAAAAAATGGACATTTTTTGCGTACATGTATTGATTTCATCAAAACATGTAAAAAACATTGTTCCTTTCAAAATAGATGCACCTTCTCTAATGAAAAATGTGCACATGAATGTAATACAAAGCCCTTCTATACACGCATAAATGCTTAAAGTACCTACAAACCATGTTTACTAACTTACAAGGTACATTTGGAGTTGATTTGGGCCAAAAAAAGCGATTTGTAAAAAATGGCCAAAATGACCTTTAAACCAAAGGGTATTAGTCACGAAAAAAGCTCGTTGACAACTTCTGACCCTCTTTTGGACGTTACAGGACGAAAAACAAAGCTATTGATAGGGTCAAACACTCAAAATGTGCGCCAAATTCTCTAGTTTTTAGTGAATACGTTTGCTTGCCAGTTGTATTATAGAAATGGTACGATAAGAGTGAAAAACCTCAAAAACGTCTTTGCCTGTTTACTCAATATTTTAGCAATAAAAATGCTGTGTTTTTTATATCAGCAGACTCAGAAAGCAAATATCTACAGCTTTTGTCACTACACCAAAGCCAAATAACCGCATCTTTATGCAGTTTTCAGCAAAAGCCAGATTTTTATTGCGGCGGAAAGAATTCGAGTTGCCCTCCATTTTTCCATTTCAATCTTCGCAACATAGCCATTTGGTATATCTTTTGTCCATTTAGCCCATCTTTGCATTATAGGATGCATATATTTCTATTTTTCTATGTTTTCTAGCACTCAAACAATATAAGGCGTTTTAGCGAGATCAAATGCTAATACGCTTCATATGATATCTAGAGCGAAAATGCTCAAAACACAGCTTAAATGCACTATTCTTTGACGAACCATTGCTCGACAACCAGACTATCAAAACATCCCGTTTTTTCATTTAAAACATGTTCTTCCGAGTCTAGAAATTGGATGGTACCATTGGTTTATCTGTTATTTTTTTGACCCATGGAGGATCACGAGGGCTCGTAAAGATGACAAAACAAAAAGTGCGATCCAGCCGATGTGAGATAAAACCACTTTCAGGTGCTTTTAGTGAAAAAAGAAATGAGTCTACTAAGACGAAAAAGGCGAGTCAATTTGAACATTGCCTTCAAATCCGTGACTATGATTGGTAGTATGACAATGTCTTATATATCTTTCCACTGAAACAATACTAGGTGGACCGTACCATCATCCTCATCCAGGAAAGCATTCGCTGGAGAAGTTCAAAAGGAGGGTCATCGACCTAATGGGTCAAAGATTTAATGCTGCATAATCTTGTCCAGTAAAGCAATCTTGACTCTTATTAGTCCTAAGGTTTAGGACTTGACCAAAATCAGACAAGCAATCTTCCATTTTCTTCTGCAATAGTCGAAGAGGTTTTACAAGAAGTTTTTCCAGCTTAAGGCGCACAATATTTGCTTTGGTAGACAAGTTGGGAGAACCTACAACGAAAGTTCCATCCTCTAATATGATACTTGTTCAAAATGCCTCATACCCATATGTATGTTTTCTCCATATAGTTTCGATAAAAGAATGATCAAGTATTTCGAGTGGTAGGTACTCTACCGATGTATTCTTCAAGTTTATTGTTTTATCAACATCCTTATTAAAAAATTGAAAAAGCATGTCAGAAATTCAAAATCTTTGATGTTACTGATATCCACGAGAACAAAACCTTTCTCAGTAGCTTTTAAGATTGTTTTCACTAAATCGATGGAAGTTGGAGTTGATGTTAGGAGAGAGATGAAGGTCTACATTTGAATCAACGCTAGTTGATTCAGGAGTAAAACCAATGATGACAGGTCGGAAGGATGATAAGTATATGCTGTTCGAGTTTGGGTGATGTCTTCTTATTTTTGCTAGATGAAGAGACTGTGAAGGCAGTTTCTGTTTATTAGGGGTAGAACCATAAACATATCAATGAATGTTGCCTAGACATTAACCGACCATTCTAAATATCAAAATAAACAAATTCCACCCAAATTGTTTGAATATATTACTACATCAGTTTCAAAACAAGAAGCTCTTTTAGAACAAAGATGTGTCATTTCTTTGAAAGATTAATGCGGATTTATAACAAGTCATATGGAAAGAATATTTCAACAATTAGAATAATAACAAGCAAGGACTTAACAGACAGTTGAAAAGTTGGCTTGCTTCTCTTTTAAAAATCGTAAGGCGACGAAGATATCATAAGTGATACATACCATCATTTTTTTCATTTTTTTTACAGTGGACAAACAGTTGACAGAACAGAGCTCACTTTGAACGAGTTTTCATTTCTTCAAACCAACCTAAAAGCTGAATAATTCAAAAAATGTCATCAAAAGAATTCTCATTCATCTCATATTGTCTATACATTGCCAAAGCGTATAAACTCATCAATCCCCTCCCCCTTCTGATAGTAATGATATAGATATTTATATGTATAAAAAAAAAAGATGAATAGTTTTTTTTCTTTTAACGCAATCAAGTCTCTAAAGTTCTAGATACTTTTTTTCTTTCCTTGCTTTTTACCATGCACCCCATTCATCATCTGAATTGTTTGCATTTGACTTCTTCTTTGTTGAAGAATTAGTCTTGCTCTAACAGAGCTAGTTATATTGGCTGCAGATCTGTTCTTTGCTGGTGAGTGGAGGTGTTACAGGTGAATGACGACCGCTCAGTTATCGTCAGAAGACTGTAAGTTATGAATGGTGGAATTAAAGAAATCATCGTCGGGAATGTCGTTTGTATGAGACGAATTCATACCAGAATAGCGTAAGAGTCATTTTGGTATGAACACTTGCTTGATGATAATTGGATGACTATGAAAAGAATCACATACGTATAGATATTGTGTTTTGGTTACCTTGGGTTGTGTAAACGAATTGACATAGCTGCTAACATTATCTCGTACTTGACCTCTAAAGTTGGGATCAGCCAATTGTTGTGCAGCAGGCTTCACATAATTATCGTTTGCATATTTTCCAAATTCTACTGCGCTTTACCAACATAGGATAAAAGCGACAACCCTTTTCAATAGCAACACGAGGATCATTAATAATTTCATGTATGTCCACAGAATTTCCTCCTCCATTTCTTCTAGCATCGTATTCACCTTGAACTAATTGAATGTAAGCTAAGAACAACCTATTTCACTTACATTGAGGGTTACCAAAACTGTAAATTTACCTCCTGACTAGGTGGCAAATGTCTAATTATATTATTAAATCATGTTGTACATGCTATTTGAACTTACTCTGGCCTGCTTTCATTGCATTTCCGAGTTGAGCAAAAATTGTTCATTGCGTGCTTTTTGGTTGTCATGGTTTAGGCTGTTGCTGCTGTTGTTGTTGCTGTTGTAAGAATCACTTCCAAATCCGCCAGACATGGAGATAGAAGAGTTGGAGCGTTGTGTGCTTGATAAGGTTGAGCCAAGCGGTTTGGACTGTTTATGACCTCGTCGTACCAACTTTAGAAGCTCCGGCGGAGGATTTGATCTTACAGAGGGTGTAGGAGTCCAAGGACGACCTTCAGCATCTGCTGCAACTAGAATTTTGTTTAGAAGACTAACATGTAGTTACTTACATTCTTACCTTTTCACGATAAAGTTCAGCACAATGACTATGTATTTGTCATTCATGTCATATCAGGCGAATAATCAGGTTGAGATTCAAAAAAGGCTTTTGCTTTTTGATTACCACCCAGCTAAAGAAAGAGTATGAGAAGCTAAATATAGACCACCACTTCTTTACCTCCATCTTTTTTAATTGATCATCAAACCACTTATCCATCGTAATGGAACGAACAAAACTAAATTCTATCAACACAACTTGACTTTTTTCAAGGTCTTTACCTATATGAACACCAAAAGACGGTGACACCTGAACAATCCAAACAAATGAAAATACATAGGAAATACTTGCCCACTGAGGGTTAGGAGCCCCACAGTCAAAACAAAGCTTATTTTCACCTTGTCTTTGAATATCGTATAACTTTTTTTATATTCTGCTGCTGACATTGAGATACAAAAAAAAAGAGATAGAAAGAAAAAAAAAAGGAAAAAAAAACGGGTGAAAAGCAACTAAAAAGAGAGCACACTCTTAAACCAACAACTTTTTTACAACACATTCATGGTTTAACTCCCGCTTATTTTTTTTATGAGACGGAAAAAGGTACAACATGAATGTAAGGTTTTATGTATATGTGCACAATAAGGAGTGAAAGAAAAGAGAGAGGGGGGGGGTATTAGATCTGTAAAATAATGATACAACAAGATAACTATTGAGACCAATCAGTAATAAAGAGATCAAATAGCAATGAATTCGATATCATCCATTAGGATAAGTCAGGCTCAGCCAATGTCCAAGTATACCCAAAGTTTTATAGTACTGGGCGGTGTGCTTGTGCCTTCTTGTTTGTCTTCTGTGGACAGTGTATTGTCTTGTCGAACGCAATAATTTTAATAACACCCATATTGATTTTACTGAATTGAGGAATGAATCAATCTGATTTGGAGTTGGAAAATCGCAAGCGAGCAAAAGTACGGTCGATAAAAGACATTTTACTTTGTTGAGTCATAGAGACAGGCTCAGGGTTCATGTCTTGGCTTCAACTACCAGATCGAGTTTCATGGCTTTCTTTTTAGCAGTAAAATAGACAAGAGGAACAACAGCAAAAGGTAATTGAATACTAAGTGCTACTTGCTTGCCACAAGCATGTTACTTAAACCTGAACGACCAGCAACACAAGCTGCTATCATGGCAGGAATGATAGCAATCAATCGTGTAACGATACGTCGTATCCAAGGTCTCGTCGTCATGCCTAAAAACCCGCTCATGATCACTATCACTATGTTAGAATCTACTACTGCAAAATAAATTTTACCTTGACCAGCTAGAGTAGCCGTCAATGTACTGGATTGGCCTGCACACAATAAAGCAAGCGCAAACACGATAGCAGCAGGGGACCTAAATATTCTTCAAAAGGGCATGTGCACTAAACAAATCTTCTACTTGTTGTTGTTGATTGTTAGGCCCATAATAAAAGTTAGCTGAAGCAACCACAAGAATAGCAGAATTAACGAAAAAGGCAAACGTGAGAGCAACAACCAGATCAATAAACCCATAATGCAAGTTACATTTCAAAGAACTATCAAGAAAGCTACGCATGGCCTCAAGGTTCAGACCGCTGTGCGAGAAACACAAGATGAAGCAGAGTCCACAGCAACGATGGTATGCGATTTTTCGTTGTAGTCTTCTTGGACTGTTTCTTTGATGTCTGTACGAAATGGGTCAGTTTTGATAAGCCAATGTCTCCTTGTTGGACAACGTGAGCCTTGAAGACCGCCATTCACGACAACGTGCTTGAACAATAAAACTATGAAGATACAATTATGTGGCATGACTTGCAAACACATTAGACCTTGTACAAACGATAAATGGTTACCTGTTGCACCAATGATGCCAATGCAACATAAGAATATCTGGATCAGTGAAGATTTCTTGGTTGGCAAGTATCCCTTAAATACATCCACAGCAACAATATCAGAATAGGCTAGTTCGATAATGAAGCAAATACCAACAGCCGATCAAGCATCATAACAAACATTTCAAAGAACCGGATCATTTTAAGAGAGCGGAGTCTGAGCTGGGAGAATCGGGATCATCGGCTTCCTCGTTATAAAACAAAAGAATGATAAATACGTCGACTGCTGTGATTGCAACGCCAGCTGGTAAAGGTAGTGAGGAAACAATAAATTAAGGGCGATGGCAGAGCCAATGACTTCAGCAATATCAGTTGCAATAATAGCAATTTCTGCTAAAACATACAAAAGAAATTGAGGTAACGATGGAAATATTTTCGTGATGCAGCTGCTAAATCAAGGCCAGCAATGGTACCAAGTCGGATAGTCAGATTTTGTAAAAAGACAGCAATGATATTGGAGATCAAAATAATAAAAAGTAACCGGTAACCAAAAGAAGACCCTCCTTCCATGTCTGTTGCCCAATTTCCTGGATCCAAGCTAAAATATAAATGAGTTAAAGTGCATTTATCGCTTTGATGCCTTACTAGCCAACAGCAATCATAAATCCTGGCCAATGAATTTCCCTAGGGTTTTGAAATACTTTTTGACTTTTTGTATCATTCTTGATAATAGCCAAAAAAAAAAAGGGAGGGAAGCTGAAAAGTATAAGAATAAAATAGAATGTCAAGATGCGCTTTTATAGTGAACAAAAGTCACATTCGCGGCTCCGAATCAACCTATTGATACAAACAAAAATAAAATAAAAAAAGAAAGCTTTCACTCACCCACTTACTTACTTTCTTCTTTTAATTCATGAATAAGGAATTCTGTAGATACAGTATCTCAATTCATTATCCTATGGAAACGAGTTTGTTCATGCTAGAAAATTTATTGGCAAAATTGCTAACTACGTTTGTCACACCTACACTTTGGAAAATAAGCAGAGCCAAATAACATTTGCATTAGTTTACAAGAAGGAGCGGAGAATAGAAGGGAAACTAGCCAGTCTATGTGAGATAATGACACAAATACGAAAGTAGCTGAATGCATTATCTTTTCAATTGCATGATTGTTTCAAATCATTACATTCATACACAATATGACCCACCAATACTAAGTTGTGATTAATGCCAAAGGCTGTACCACAAGTACAGATTTCTTTCTATTTATATTATCTTAAATGAACATCTCAACAAATTGCCGACAAAGAATTGAGTGAGTTCAAGTATCATCTTGGCTCTGGATAGGATACCTTCGTATGACAAAAACTGGGCCAATTTTTATTTCGATTGCTTAAGCATCTTGAATGGTCTCTTTAATTAAATAGACTTTTTTGTGTAACTATTTACTAAATTGACTCGAGAAAAAGTTCTTATTGACCTTTTGTTTCTCGATGGAATCTTATATAGTCGTGTCACAGACGTGTTTTCTACTTTCCCGAAGGTTATCTTCCCAAGTGGTTATTGTTCACCTCTGCTCTTGTATCTTTAACTCTATTCAAAACTTTTGCACCAGTTCTTTAACTAAACGCGTCTATGCCAATAAACCTGAACAAGGTAAAGTAGGACTTGAGATGAGCTACTGTGTCATCATCACTGTAGTGACTCCTCTCAGTGGTCGCTTGTTTGCCACCTGGACTTGGTCTGTTAGTATGATTCGTATTTATGCTGCTTTCCATCTTCAACATAAATTGTAAGTTAACCATATAGAAAATGCTCACACATCATTCAGTATGTATGATCTTGGTATTGACCTATGTGATTGCCTTGACACATTTGTTGGTGAATTGGTTGTTTTGGTGGCTGTAAACTGAATGGTCCTTTCATGTCTCCCATGATTGTTGCTGGTAAGATATATATATATAGAGAGAGAGAGAGAGAGAGAGGAAATGATAACATATTAACATGACATACTATTAGTTTCCTCACTCATTTGGCTTACTCAAGTCAAGGACCAATACGTCAAATTTTATTAAGTAATAAACAAGCTACTGTAGTAGATCAGTAGAATAAGGGTTATTGGTCTGAATAGAAACAACACGGTTTGTACTGGTAGCTGCATTATAGCTCCAATCATTGAAAGGCGTAGACGCTAATTGTTGCTGTTGCTGTTGCTGTTGTTCTTGTTGAATTAAAGAAACTGGGTTTGTTTCGACATAATTACTGGCTGCCTTGGGTGATTGTCTCAAGACAGCAGAGGGTAGTAAATGGCGAGGCTTGTATCGACTAATAAACGTAGTTGGACTCTTGTGATAGATAGAAGCAAGTGAACCAATATGAAGCAAGAGCTCATCCAGAAAATTAGGATCAAGATTATCACTTTCTGTTGTGATAGCAGGTTTATCAGAAAGTACAACAGCCTTAGCAGCAGTAGGATCTGTGGATAATAAACGCCAATAAATGTAGCCACGATCACGTAAATCAGGATTATCGACTTCTTCTGTAGCCCATTTTAATACTTTAGGCACAAGTTCTTGGCCTGCTGTTGGTCTCTGAACAAACAATTTGACGGTAGCAGTCAACAAGGCCAATTGAACCTATAGACAAACAAAAAAGAAAATAAGCAATCTCTATCGTTTTATAGCTAAACTTACTTCATAAGGTTCTTCTAAAAATGTATACAAGAAATCGTCCAACAATTGGTCTGCATTTTCAATACGATCAGCATATTGACCAATGATCCAAATCATAGAAGCCTTTGCTTCTGGCTCATCCAAATCATCCAGGTTTTCACAGAGAGTGGCAATAATACTTTCATATTGATTAGGGTATTTTCTAAAGATGTCCCTAATGACAATAATGGCTTCTTGGACAACATAATTGACTTTGGTCTGAATCAATTCTAGTAAGGCAGAAATACATTTATCAGCAGCACTTTCAATCTTGACAGCCAATCGACCAATAGCTCGTACTGACTTGCGAACAAAATCAACATCCACTTCAGCAGCATACCTGTTAAAATGAGTCATGTAATTCACTAGACCTTGTTCTTACTCTTTCAATTCATTCAAGACAATATCCACATTTCTTTCATTAGCTAGTCTAAAGATGACCTCAAGTTTGCCTAGTTTGACACAGATGGGATCATCGTATTTACAGAAAAAGACCTTGATATCATTCTTGAGGATTTCAGGACGACGTTGTATAATCAATTGAATGTTACGTAAAGCAACATATTGTACTTCATAACCAGAAGCTAACAATGTCACTATTCATATATTATCAGTATATCAATATGTATGTATTTTTGTTACCTAAAGGAGGACCTAGCTTTCTACATAATTGACTGATTTCTTCTTCATTGCTCATATAATTCATCAAGTACATCATGACTTTGGTAGCAGTCAAGACAACAGCTGAATTAGCATGTTGAAGACGAGGAGAGATACGCTCAGCCAGCATCTCTGCATCGCCTGTCTCTTGAGGCACATAATACATTAATGCTTCTAAAATGTATGTCTGACCCCATCTATTTATATATAAGAAAATGGTTGCTGTCATTCCTACTTACTCTGAACATTCACCTAAAGCAGCTACAAGCTTACTAGCAATAGAATGATTCAGTCGTAATTGAATATGGTCTGATCTTTCGGATATCTCGGTCAATGCTGCTACTGCATTAGCAACCACCTAGAGGACTGTCAATGGCCATCTTATCACTGTGTCACTTACAGTAGGATTAGGGTCGGCTAATAAATCTCGCAACATATCTACAAAGTGTTCACTCTCCACAAGCACACGATCATACATATACAGTTTCGCAACACAAGTAGCAGCTGTCTTTCTCACATAAGGATCTCTGTCTCTTAAACTGTGTCGGAGTGGGTCTACTAATACATCTACAATCTTTTCTACTTGAATATAGCCCATGGTACGAATAGCTAATGCACGAATAAGAGGATTAGGATCCTCTACATCCTAAAGAATACTGAACATGATATCCATGACGATACAAACAACCTTACCTTGATAAACATAGAAATGGCCATGACAGCCATATCTGGTTTAGTACGTGCATAGTTGATAATATAGAGATAGACCATTTTCTTGATTTCTAGAACAGGTACTTGCATCACATTTAGAATATCAGGGAATAAAGGTGACATATCATTGCCCATTGTCATGTTGGCTACAATCTTTTTCATCACTGTCTTTTTACGCTGATGCTTTTGGTCGCGCTTTTCAGATGTGAGTTCAGCACGTAGTTCCTGAATTTTGCCTATTCATGTCTAAGTAATATATTTGCCTGGTATATTGTACCTCTTTGAAAATACTTTGCATCAGACATGGTGAATAAAGAGAAAGAAACAAAATGAAAGGGAAGCACAAGTAACTTATAAATTGGAATTACAAGGCATTTGATTGGCTAATTCATTATTACTTTACTGTATTTAAACTCGCATGGATCATGTCCTTATGGTAGTATTTGCTCTTTATTATTCAATTGAATGCCTTATCTCTATATTGTGGTGTATTCTTGACTTATGGTATAGAATAAGACAATAACTGCGAATGATCAACAATAGATATCACTAAAGAAGCATACCCATTGAGTCAACAAAGGCTTTTCTTCTCTATTCACGTTCAAATGAATGGGCTTAGTACTTATCCACGATAAACAGGACAAGGAAGAGATAAGATTGTCTTTTTCTCCATAAGACTATGCTTAAAAGAAACTGTATTTTATTCACATTGTAAATCACGCTTCAAACTCTTCGACATCTTTAAGGCTTATTTTAGTTTCTGGTTCAGAAGAGTTAGGGATGATTCTTTGAAGCTTGCAATTCTTGAGTGTTGTTTGTCATTAGAGTTCGAATGAATGTATCGGAAGCTTTAAAAATGTTAATAGAATACTTAGTTAAAGAGATGCTAAACTCTTGACTGATACACCGCTTCTAGTATAGAAGGCTGCTGTTCTCAAATTTGGTTCAGTATTGGAGTGACTGACGCTTGAGAAGAAAGCAGGAAGGGTTTCATGAAAGAGCAAATTGGCTATAGCAATGGCTAAAGCTAGATACCTTATCTTTTCCATTTATACTACGACCATGCTTGACTGAGGGACATTCAAGATTATAACAAACTAAAAGCACCTTTCATGTTTCTGTATTATGTTGTTCCTGTCTTTTGACCAATTGCTTAGGATGTTGAAGTTTCTGGAAACAGCAAACACAGGTCTAAGATGTAATGTTTTCATTGGTAATACAGACAGTTGTATAACGAACATGCATGTCTTGCTTTCAAGTACTACTATATCGCAAGTGTCCTTTGATTCTTGAGCCAATGCCTATACCCCTGATCACCAATCATCATTATCAACTGTTTAGAGGTGCTTTGATGTCCTGACTTTTTCTTGCCTTTTGGATCACTGTCGTCTTTTTCTGCCTTTGGATTTAATCATGCACACTCCTGTGAGCAAATACAATCCCTAGTCTTCTTTGTGCACATGTCTCTTCTCATACCCCATAGCCTTATTCTTGGATTGTCATACAGGCCTCTCAACATGTCCTTGCTTTCTTGTAAACATCAATATGTTTTCCAAATCTCACCTTCATTTTCGCATATTCATCTATCTATGTACTGTTCAACTTATTTTGAGCTTATCAATTTCTTCAAGTGTATGTAGGAGAAACAGCAAGCAGGTAAATAAACAGATGTAGATTCTTTATATATATCTATTGTTCTGAAATTGATTTCCTTATTTGGATTTTTATATTTCATTGTCCAAGAATTCAAAATCTTAGAAGACACAGTCGTTCCAACGCCAAAGGGCGGTTTTAATTTTCCAAAAGGCGGTTTTGATTTTCCCAGAAGGTGGTTTTTATTTTTTTTTCAAGGCGGTTTTCTTTCGAGTTTCGCAAGAAACTTCAACTTGCTGTTCGAATTCGTCTTCTATTTCTTCTTCGGGCTCTCTAATGAGACGTCGTTTAAAGGAAATGTTTTTAGTAGGCAAGGGTTGCATAATAAATACGTTTTTAGAGAAAAAGTAATTTTTGTTTTTGATGGTAAAACAAAAGTTAAACTGGAAAATTGCAGTATTATCAACTCGAGCTTACCATATTTGGAATTTTTTTGCACAAAATAGGGAGAACCGTGTGCATACTATGACTGCTTTTCAGTAATCCTGAACTTATAAAAAGGGATGATTTTCATTTTTCCATTTTTTTCTTCTGTTTTATCCTCTGGCCTACGGGTCTTCTGGCCTACGGGTCTTTTTTTTGATAAATGTAAACATTTTGCTACCCTTACCATATAAAAAAAAAATTAAAATTGGCCAAAGCTTGAATCGTTAAAAACCAAACTCTATTTAACCACTATTTTTTAAGGAATTAGTTGTCGGCGATGGTGTATGCTCAAAAAAAATGTACTTCGAGTTTTGTTGGGATGAGAAACCCCCCCTCATTAATTCTTTTCTTATTTTTAATTGTAATGAGATTTTTTAAAATAAAGAATAACCCAACTACTTGGTTTGTAAATAATTGATTTTTGCAGCAGTATTTGCGTCGACTCCAACAATTTCATAATAGAATATATACGCGAAACGCAAAATCAGTAGCGCTGTTGTAGAAATGTTTGTTTAAATAAAGGCTTGTGCAACAAAACCTTTTTCAAACAAAGTGTATTTCTCCTTCTCTTTTTCAATAAAGCTTCTAGATCTTGCTTATTCTTTAATTATGATCTTTTGTCCCTGATATAATGCTCTGAAGCGTGTCCGGAATGCTCAATTCAGTTTGGACTAACATCTTGAGCTGGGTAGCACTCGAAGCTCCTGGCGCAATGCGCCTTCTTTCACTACTTACATCTAGGATATACATTTTTAAGAAATACTTATGGGCAGTTGACTGTCAAACAATCTGAGTCAACTCGATTTAGATTCGAATCATCAAACCCACCCACTCAATGAATAAACGGCCTGAAAGTGCATTACTTGTTTATGTAAAAGAGACGTCAGACAAATACATTCTTCAAGCGTAAAAAAGACAAGAATTCATACAGATCTTCTCCGTTTTCTTGAGCATACAGAAGTAGCATAAAATCTGCCTATACACACATAAATGCACTAAATACCTACAAACTATGTTTTCTAACATCCATGGTACATTTGGAATTGATTTCGACCAAAAAACGACTTGTGGAAAATGGCCAAATATACCTTTTAACCAATTCTACCTCAAATACAAAGCTTTAAGATTGGAAATTATTCAAGGCCTATTACTCATGATCAGACACCATTTAATAGCAAGAAATAGCAAGAATAGCAAGAAATAGCATGGATGAGTAGTATAGTAAAAAAAAAATTTGTATAAAAATTTGCATCTTAGATTTTTAAAATTAATTTGCTCCTTACCGTAATGGATTTATAGAAAACAGAAAACAAAAAAAAAAAAAAAAAAAAAAAAAAAAAAAAAAAAAAAAAAAAGTTAGTCTTTTGACCCTTTTTTTGACAATATATGCAAAATTATGCAAAATTTATTAATTTTTTTGACAACATTTTTAACAACATTTTCTTTTTTTTTAGTTCTTTTAAAATCAAAGACACTACAGCATAAGTGATGGAAGAGTTATGCATTCAGAAATGGAGAAAAATGCAACCGGTTACGCTGCAGTGAGAGTGTATCTCTTTGCCTAAAAATGTTTGTTTTCTAGAAATGTTTTCTGTTGGCACAAATAGCATAGTTGCACATTGGTTTTGATTTTTTCAAACTTATAATTAAAGTTGTTAATTATTGATATTATAGAAAAGGTCCTTTGAGCACATGGTTCAATGTGGCCTTTGACTGCTCGAACTTGATCAATTCATAAGAATGACTATACCAAGCTAAAAATACCTTGAGAGAACAAGGGAAAAAAAGGGATAGAGAGGAGAGCGTCAATCTAATGGTATTTTGGATGCTTGTTGGAACCTGAGAAGAAATAGAAACATTGCTTGGATGTTGGAAGAGTAGATTATTTGTGATAGATGTTACATAGAGATGATTTTGGATAAAAGCGAATACATAATGCTCATGTGCTACTCCAATAAAGTACAGAGCGAGCAGTCTGAGTTTTTATGAGGAACAATCTGCAAATCTCTGAAAGACAAAGAGCTTGGTCAAGGACACTTTTGCATTCTCTAAAGCCACCTTGGCAGTGTTTAAGGACGATACTTTACCTTGGAGAAGTTCTTTGATGCACGCTTTGAGCGTTTTTCTTCTGGAACTAGTAGTCAGACTAGTTAGGTAGTAATTGACTGGATCAGTTAAGTTCCTTTCTTACGAATTGGGACTACTTGTGCTACTCGTCAACAGTGAGGTGTGTATGGCCAACACCAATATAGATCAAAATATGGAAAATCAGGAATCACTAAAATCTGTGATATATATACAGAAACTAAAGCTAGAGCCATGAGGAAAAATCACGATAAGAGCCGTAGATGTCAGGAACTTCTCATGAATGTAATGGATCTACAAAAAAAAAAAAAAAAAAAAAAAAAAAGTATTCTAAAGTCTGCCAACATTTATGCCGACATGCAAGTATGCCATTTGTGTACTCAAAAAAATTTTTTTGAAAAATAATAAAAACCACTATTGTAAATTAAATCAAGATGTTTTCTGCAATGACAAAAAATAAAAAAGAAGAAATTTTCCAATTTTCTGCTTAAATTTTAAAAAAAGCTTCTTCTTCAATTTTTCTGTTCTAAAATAAAAACGAATCTACCGGATGATAATCTTACTGTTTTAGTTTAAAGAAGAGATTACTGGTTGGTAGACTCGGTTTTTATTTCAAAACAGAGAAATCCAAAAACAAGCTTTTTTTTTTAATTCAACGGAAGAACTAGAAATTCTCTACTTTTTATATTTTTTGTCATTGCAGAAAATATTCTTGATTTATTTTACAAGAATAGTTTTATTTAAAATGGCAGTTTTTATTATTTTTCAAAAAAATTTTTTGAGTACACAATTGGCATACTTGTAATTTCGGTATACCTGTTGATATTTTTATTATTTTTGAAAATTTTTTTCTTTTTCTTTTTTTGTAAGCGTATCACACGGATCATGAAGGCCTGAGATCTACGAGTATTTTCATACTTTTTTTATTGCTCTAGCTACCTCTTTTTGTAGATCTATCGCTACAGCGTAAGGGACGAAGAAAATGTAATGCTTACTCTGTGGTGTATGATCGCTTATGGCCGCTATTATGGTTGTTATGGTTGCTATGGTCGTAGCAATCATTCTCTGTAAGAGTGAACTTGTTCAAGAAACTGATGATCAAAAGAGTTAAGAAAGAGTTCAGATTACTGGTGTTGTCATTTGGGAGGTGAAGACGTTACAGATGGCTGACAGTTGCTTTCCAAATAAGTTTCTAACTGCTACTTGCTTGACTAGAATTTGCTAAAATTTATTAAGGGAAGGGTGTAGTTGACTCTCGAGCCCGATTTCATAGAAAAAGGAAGAACTAACAGCTTTGAGAAGCAGTGTCGCCCGTTGGCTGAGTAAGCCTTAGATGCTGAGCCATACCTTTCTTATTCTATTTTTCTGGTCCAAGCATAAATTTTAGTGTTCAAAGCCTCTTCCAAAGATTGCAATAACTCTACAAAAAGTACTAGAGCAATAAAAAAAGTATGAAAATACTCGTAATCTCAGGCCTTCATGATCCGTGTATAACGCTTACAAAAAAAAAAAAAAAAAAAGTATTCTAAATCTGCCAACATTTATGCCGACATGCAAGTATGCCATTTGTGTACTCAAAAAATTTTTTTTGAAAAATAATAAAAACCACTATTGTAAATTAAATCAAGAGTGTTTTCTGCAATGACAAAAAAAAAAAGAAGGAAATTTTCCAATTTTTCTGCTTAAAATTTTAAAAAAAGCTTCTTCTTCAATTTTTCTGTTCTAAAATAAAAACGAATCTACCGGATGATAATCTTACTGTTTTAGTTTAAAGAAGAGATTACTGGTTGGTAGACTCGGTTTTTATTTCAAAACAGAGAAATCCAAAAACAAGCTTTTTTTTTTAATTCAAGCGGAAGAACTAGAAATTCTCTACTTTTTATATTTTTTGTCATTGCAGAAAATATTCTTGATTTATTTTACAAGAATAGTTTTATTTAAAATGGCAGTTTTATTATTTCTCAAAAAATATTTTTGAGTACACAATTGGCATACTTGTAATTTCGGTATACCTGTTGATATTTTATTATTTTTGAAAATGTTTTTTTCTTTTTCTTTTTTTGTAAGCGTATCACACGGATCATGAAGGCCTGAGATCTACGAGTATTTTCATACTTTTTTTATGCTCTAGCTACCTCTTTTGTAGAGTTATTGCAATCTTTGGAAGAGGCTTTGAACACTAAAATTTATGCTTGGACCAGAAAAATAGAATAAGAAAGGTATGTCTCAGCATCTAAGCTTAATCAACCAACGGGCTACACTGCTCTCAAAGCTGTTAGTTCTTCCTTTTCTATGAAATCGGCTCGAGAGTCAACTACACCCTTCCCTTGAATAAATTTTAAATCTAGTCAAGCAAGTAGCAGTTAGAAACCTTATTTGGAAAGCAACTGTCAGCCATCTGTAACGTCTTCACCTCCCAAATGACAACACCAGTAATCTGAACTCTTTCTTAACTGCTTTTGATCATCAGTTTCTTGAACAAGTTCACTCTTACAGCAGAATGATTGCTACGACCATAGCAACCATAACAACCATAATAGCGGCCATAGCGATCATACACCACAGAGTAAGCAATTACATTTTTCTTCCGTCCCTTACGCTGTAGCGATAGATCTACAAAGAGGTAGCTAGAGCAATAAAAAAAAGTATGAAAATACTCGTAGATCTCAGGCCTTCATGATCCGTGTGATACGCTTACAAAAAAAGAAAAAGAAAAAAAACATTTTCAAAAAATAAAAATATCAACAGGTATACCGAAATTACAAGTATGCCAATTGTGTACTCAAAAAATATTTTTTGAGAAATAATAAAAACTGCCATTTTAAATAAAACTATTCTTGTAAAATAAATCAAAATATTTTCTGCAATGACAAAAATATAAAAAGTAGAGAATTTCTAGTTCTTCCGCTTGAATTAAAAAAAAAAGCTTGTTTTTGGATTTCTGTTTTGAAATAAAAACCGAGTCTACCAACCAGTAATCTCTTCTTTAAACTAAAACAGTAAGATTATCATCCGGTAGATTCGTTTTTTATTTTAGAACAGAAAAATTGAAGAGAAGCTTTTTTTTAATTTTAAGCAGAAAATTGGAAAATTTCCTTCTTTTTATTTTTTGTCATTGCAGAAAACACTCTTGATTTAATTTACAATAGTGGTTTTATTATTTTTTCAAAAAAATTTTTTTGAGTACACAAATGGCATACTTGCATGTCGGCATAAATGTTGGCAGACTTTAGAATACTTTTTTTTTTTTTTTTTTTTTTTTTTTTTTGTAGATCCATTACATTCATGAGAAGTTCCTGACATCTACGGCTCTTATCGTGATTTTTCCTCATGGCTCTAGCTTTAGTTTCTGTATATATATCACAGATTTTAGTGATCTCCTGATTTTCCATATTTTTGATCTATATTGGTGTTGGCCATACACACTCACTGTTGACGAGTAGCACAAGTAGTCCCAATTCGTAAGAAAGGGAACTTAACTGATCCAGTCAATTACTACCTAACTAGTCTGACTACTAGTTCCAGAAGAAAAAACGCTCAAAGCGTGCATCAAAGAACTTCTCCAAGGTAAAGTATCGTCCTTAAACACTGCTCAAGGTGGCTTTAGAGAATGCAAAAGTGTCCTTGACCAAGCTCTTTGTCTTTCAGAGATTTGCAGATTGCTTCCTCATAAAAACACTCAAGACTGCTCGCTCTGTACTTTATTGGAGTAGCACATGAGCATTTATGTATTCGCTTTTATCCAAAATCATCTCTATGTAACATGCTATCACAAATAATCTACTCCTTCCAACATCCAAGCAAATGTTTCTATTTCTTCTCAGGTTCCAAACAAGCATCCAAAAATACCATTAGATTGACGCTCTCCTCTCTATCCCTTTTTTTCCCTTGTTCTCTCAAGGTATTTTTAGCTTGGTATAGTCATTCTTATGAATTGATCAAGTTCGAGCAGTCAAAGGCCACATTGAACCATGTGCTCAAAAGGACCTTTTCTATAATATCAATAAATTAACAAACTTTAATTATAAGTTTGAAAAAATCAAAACCAATGTGCAACTATGCTATTTGTGCCAACAGAAAAACATTTCTAGAAAACAAACATTTTTAGGCAAAAGAGATACACTCTCACTGCAGCGTAACCGGTTGCATTTTTCTCCATTTCTGAATGCATAACTCTTCCATCACTTATGCTGTAGTGTCTTTGATTTTAAAAGAACTAAAAAAAAAGAAAAATGTTGTTAAAATGTTGTCAAAAAAATTAATAAATTTTGCATAAATTTTGCATATATTGTCAAAAAAAGGGTCAAAAGACTAACTTTTTTTTTTTTTTTTTTTTTTTTTTTTTTTTTTTTTTTTTTTGGTTTTTCTGTTTTCTATAAATCCATTACGGTAAGGAGCAAATTAATTTTAAAAATCTAAGATGCAAATTTTTATACAAATTTTTTTTTTACTATACTACTCATCCATGCTATTTCTTGCTATTTCTTGCTATTTCTTGCTATTAAATGGTGTCTGATCATGAGTAATAGGCCTTGAATAATTTCCAATCTTAAAGCTTTGTATTTGAGGTAGAATTGGTTAAAAGGTATATTTGGCCATTTTCCACAAGTCGTTTTTTTGGTCGAAATCAATTCCAAATGTACCATGGATGTTAGAAAACATAGTTTGTAGGTATTTAGTGCATTTATGTGTGTATAGGCAGATTTTATGCTACTTCTGTATGCTCAAGAAAACGGAGAAGATCTGTATGAATTCTTGTCTTTTTTACGCTTGAAGAATGTATTTGTCTGACGTCTCTTTTACATAAACAAGTAATGCACTTTCAGGCCGTTTATTCGAATAGAATACCTTATTAAAACACATCTAACACCACTAGATCAAAGAAAGAGGATATTTGCATATGAAAAGGGTCAAAGGGACGAAAATACATTTCATCTTTATGATATATACTATATGAAAGATGGCCTTTAGCATATGTATGAAATATGTTGTCCCGAACAAGTAGAATCTATGTACGTATTTTACACAAATCTTTGTGATAGGCGTGCTTGTCTGGTGAGCTCAAAGCCGTGTTTTCTCCTGTTCAACATAATACTTGAGCTTGATTGAAAACTTTCTTTTCCATTTTTTGATATTGTTATGTGTGAAATAAACTTCCAAAACTCTTCTAATGCAAAGTATTTCTGCAACAACCTTTCTTTTTGTAGTACGCTGAACTTTATTCTTCTGCCAAGAATCTCTTTCCGAACAATGATGATGACTTTCATGTGCTACAATCGAGATAGTTTCGGGCCGATCCTTGACCCAATAGCATTTCCTGCCGGGAAGATAGCAATGGATAGGAAAACAGAAAACATAAAAAGAATATATGTTCTGTAATCTAATAAAATGTATCGCAGTATGTGTCTTATTAGAGTAAGACATTAAAGACGTCATTTAAGCACCCTTGATAAGATACGTTCCACCGGTTAAACCATGGTCTCATTTTGTCCTGAAGTCAAAAAATATTCCTTGTCCGCAAACGATGATGATGATATCAAGAATATAAATGGCCACGCTCTTGCCTTTTGTTTCTCTCACCTTTTTTCCCTCTTTTTTTCTTTGTTTATTTCGTTGCGATGGCGAGGCTTACATGCTTATTTGTTTTGGCATTGGTGACTCTTACATCTGTCAATGCAGCTAAAAATGTGACTCGAATTGAAGACTGTCCAGCCTTGACACCTCGTAATGGACCAAGAGATGTGCACGACCTTCGTCCCGATGATATTAAGGTAGTAGGTGCATTAGGCGATAGGTAAAAAAAAAACCTTGTATTGGCATATCAACTTATACTGACACACGAGTTTAGTATTACTGCTGGTTTTGGTATTATGGGTTATAACATCACTCTTCCTTCTCCAATTGCACTCTTGGATTCATTTACTGAATACCGTGGTCTTAGTTATAGTGGCGGTGGTCAAGAAGGTGCTTTTACAGTACCAAATTACATTAAGCATTATCAGCCATCCTTGACAGGTTACTCCAATGGCAATCATACCCTTCACAGCTGTAGTGGTAAGCCGTCTCTTTTTTTTCCCTACAATATCATTCTAACATTGTATAGCCAACAATTGTTCTGTTTCTTGTGAGTTGGGATGACAACATGCTAGAATGACATCAATATTCATTTTTTCCTTTTATAGACACGGCCCAAGATGACCAACTCAATGCTGCTTTAAGTGGTGCTATTGCAAAGAACTTGGACCGCCAATTAGACTATATGATTCAAGGTAAGTGATAAACACTTCTTACACACAGATGTATAACATGTCAATAGAAATGAAAGTCATTACAGAGTTGGATTTTGACAATGATTGGAAAATGATCAATATTCAAATTGGTAGTAATGATATGTGCAATTCGTGTGAACAAAACGAAGTAAATTATACTACGCCCGAGAGCTATGGCAACTATGTGAATGCTGCCATTGATAGAATTCAACAAAATATTCCCAAAGTATTGGTGAACTTGATTGGCACTTTTAATGTCTCTCAGATTTTTCCTTTAACAGCCAATCAGACGTATTGTTCACCTATGACCACGAATGTTAGAGTCAACTATAACTTAGGTGAATGTAATTGTGCTGGTGTCCCTGGAGGACTCGAGAAAATGGATCAACTTTCAGCAGGTAAAGAAAGAAGAAAAAAAAGAATATAGCTCTCTCACACGATATGGTAGATTATAATAAAAGACTCTACGATATTTACGAAAAGCATCAACAAAACAAGTCTGCTGATTTTGCTGTGGTCTATCAACAAGCCAACCTTAACATCACCAGTTTTCCTATTGATTTCTTTAGGCAAGTTTCCATTATTATAGTATTTTTTTTCTCATTCTCTTGTAGTAATCTTGATTGTTTCCATCCAGGACTCAAAGGACACCGTTGGGTATCTAAAATAGTCTGGAATCAACTCTTTTCTAATCAAGCCATGAAACCCCGAATCTTTAATTTCAATGAAAGTCAAACTATCTATTGTCCAATTGATTCAGATAGAATTGTTACAAATTAACTTTACTTTCGTGAATCAATCAATTCATGCGCAATGTACCTTCAAAGCCATGTGACGTAGCTTTCTAATAATAAAATTTCTTGGCTTTGAAATCGTTTTGATACTTGCTTTAATTGGAAGGCTACACACATGCGTGTAACCGTACCTATATCTATTTAAAACTAGATAAAAAAAATTGGCTTTCTATTTTTTTTTTTTTCTTTTTCAACATGTCTTTCTTAGATGAAATTGCAACATCGCCTACTAAAATCCATTGGAACAATAAAAACGAAGTAGAGAATACTGCTATTCATACTGGAACACCAGCGGTGGCAGACAATAAACGTAAACATTTTAAAACTGATTCTAAAATGGCTCAAGAACCTTTAGATATATCACCACCAGTATCACCTGCTTCTTGTATTTTAGATGAAAAACGGTCTTTTACTACACCTTATCTCCCTACACCTATTGCTACACCCGAGTCACAACATCTCTGTCTTGTTCATGAAGATAAACTGGAACAGATTATCTTGAAACGACACTCTACTCTATCATCCCAACATACCATTGAAGAAACAGAACCAACACACACTGTCACATTGGGTCGACATCATACGACAGGCCATGCTCTCAAGACAGCAAGACAACGTATGGCTGATAAAGAGCGTTTGAGTCTGATGCGACGTTCAGAAGAATTCCAAAAAGAATTAACAGCACGCCAAAAGACATTTAAGCGACTTTCTCGTCTGATGGATACGGAAGACGATGATCGTGTCTTGATCGGAACCCGTATTTCCGAAGGGCATCAAAACTATGTACTCATGTATAACATGTTGACTGGTATTCGTATTGCAGTCAGTCGTGTGACAGCCAAGATGGATCGTCCCCTTACGGATGAAGATTATGTGGCTGCTCACAAATTGGCTTTTGATGTGATTGGTGATGAATTGACACCCGGTGCTAAATATGATTTCAAATTTAAAGATTATGCTCCTTGGGTATTTCGTAGCCTAAGAGAGAAGTTTGGCGTGGATCCAGCCGATTATTTGGTAAGACGCTTTGATGTATGTATCTATTCTTAACACACAAGTAGATTTCTTTGACAAGTAAATACATTTTGTCTGAATTAGGTTCACCTGGTAAAAGTGGCAGTTTCTTTTACTATTCAAAAGACTATCGTTTTATTATCAAAACAATTCATTACACAGAACATAAATTTATGAGAAGAATCCTTAAAGAATATCATCAGGTAAAAACAAATAAAGCAAAGCAAAGCAAAACAAAAAAAAAAAAAAAAAAAAACTGATGATTGTGAAATAGCATATCAGTGAGAATCCAAGTACACTTTTATGTCGCTATTATGGTCTACACCGTATTAAATTACCTCATGGACGTAAAATCCATTTTGTCGTCATGAGCAATGTTTTTCCTCCTAACAAGGATATTCACGAAACCTATGATTTAAAGGTAGAAGTCTCTCTTTAGATAAACATTCACTGACAAAACAACAGGGTTCTACTTTTGGTCGATTTTTACCAGAACAAGATATTCGCAAGAACCCATATGCAGTTATGAAAGATCAAAACTGGGTTAAACGAGAACGTAAACTCAAGTTAGGACCTCAAAAACGACGTATGTTTGTAGGACAGCTTGTGCGTGATGTGACTGTAAGTAGATATGTTGATTAGGCAGAATTTGACATGATTATTAGCTTTTAGCCCAACTGAATATCATGGACTATAGTTTACTGATTGGTGTCCATGATATGCTGCGCGGAAATAAAGACAATGTACGTGACACAACACTCCAGTCATTCCAACCCAATACAAGGTCTGTTCAAAGACGAATTACAATGATGAAAAAACGTACAAGTAAAGCACAGGTGGTGCGTGAAGCCATTGCAGAAGCCAATCCCAATAAACTGGACGTATCTAAATTACCACAAGATGCTCAAGAGTAAGCCTTATTATTATTATTGTTATTTTATTCACGTTGATATTGATACGTATTACTTTAGACGTCGTAACTGTGTATTTTATGCTGAAGAAGGTGGTCTTCAAGCAACAGACGAACTAGATCGTCCTTTACCTGTCCTTTATTCGCTTGGTATCATTGATATCTTGACACCTTATGATATCAAAAAGAAATCTGAACATGTTTATAAATCATTCACTCAAGACAAACATGCTATTTCTGCAGTTAAACCATCAGAATATGGTCAGCGATTCTTAGAATTCATGGCCAGTGCTGTATTAGAATACAATCAAGATATTCCTCATGAATATAAACTCAAAAGTAGAGTTAAACACTTCTTTAGACATTAAAACTATACCCCACTCCCCCCCTTTTTTCAAATAAAATATATTTTATATGTATATATATGTAGTTTTTTATTTTTATCTGATCTGTGAATGTGTATGACTTATTTAGGAGGGCTAAAAAGAAGAATGAGTGAAATGTTACTCTGTGTATAAAGACTTACTTGTAGACAATCTTTCTAGACTTGATAGGAGCCCACTTGAATCTCTTGAGGTAGATAGACAAGGCAGTCAAACCAACCAAGATGACAGTAGCCTTCATACCCATCTTCTTACGTTCATCATGTTCAGGCTCAGCAGACCAAGCAAGGAAGGTACAGACATCCTTAGCCATTTGAGAAGTAGTGGCAGGTGTACCATCTTCGTATTCAACAAGACCATCGTAAAGGACACGGCCATGGCAATAGCACACCAGGGAAGTAAGGGTTGTAGTTTAAGCCTTCACGGACTTCAACACCTCCTGGGGGTCAACATAACCTGTCAAAAGAGCAAAGACATAGTCCTAATCCATCATCATCAGTTTTTCCGTCTCTCTCTCTCTCTTTTTTTTTTTCTCTTCAACTTACTTCACCACCGTGACGAGCCTTGGTGATCAAAGAGAGATCTGGGGCAAAGCACCAGCATTACCAGCACGAGCAGCTTCTTCATTAGCATAGGGCTTGGGCATATAATCAGCAGGCTACATGTATCCATAAGTCTATTGCCCCTTGCATGTCTACACACACAATCTTACCTTGCCGGGTCTCATAAACATATCACCATTGTCATCGGGCCATCTTGATATTCGAATTCTTCAGCCATTGCCTTGACTTCATCCTCACTATGAGAGACACCAATCAAGTTTCTCCAAGCAATACGGTCAAGTGAGTGACAAGCAGAACAGACTTCTCTGTAGACTTGGTAACCACGACGAATACTATGGAATAGGATAAGTCATCTTTGTTTGTGTTCATTAACATATTTACGAGGCATGATCAAAAGTATCGAGAGGACCACTGTGAGGCCAGGGGTAAGAAGGAGGGTGAAGACCTTCATCAGCCATGTTGGCAGACACATCAGCATACATGTAAGCAGCAGCAGTGGTACCAACAATAGCAGAAGTCACAAGGCCGAATTGCATAGGTTTCTGTTACAAATGAAGGTTAGATCGACAGGTTGCAAAAGTTGCCTTATTCTTTTTTTTATATCAATGTTACTACTTGACTGATGGTAGGCTTGGTAGAGGCGAATCGAGCCTATATCCCATGTAAGTTGAAAAATATATTTAGTGACAAGTGGCGTACCTGAGGTTGAGCAACTGAACGAACTGATCGCTTTGCTGCGTTGACGGCAATCCGAGAAAACATTGAATAAGAGAGTAGGGGGGTTTATTTCACAGCCAAAAGGGATTAGAAAAAAAAAAAAGAGAGAAAAAAAATTGACCTGGTTGCTACCCCCTCTCCTTGTCTCCGCTCAACGTACCAAGCAAAAATAAGCAACAGAAAAAGGTGACGTAGCAAAAAAAAAGTCTGCTGAGTTTTATTTGGGTAGGATTTATGCAACTTTTTATGAATTCAACCGTCTTCCTGGTCCCCAACGATGACCACTCATAAATCCTGTTGTTTGGCCTCTTGATGCATCATTGCCACTGAATCCAGCACGAAAACCACCACTTCGAATACCTCGAGCTGATGGAAATAATCGTTTTAAAAAGTTGGGTGTTTGAAGATAACGTCTTCCTCCTTGGTTTGGATAGATGTGTGTCAAATAATGATAAACATGAGAAGATACAAGACCAGCAATAGATGCTCTAGGAAGGACACCACCTGACATTAAGAAATCAGAGGCAATCATAACCCAAGGAAGATACATAGCTTTGAATTGGACACCAAACATAAATGACACCATCTGTTCCTGATGATGTTGTGCCCAAAGATAGGCAACCGACAACAACAGACCATCACTCAGGACATAGATACCAAATATACTTGCTGCAGCCAGCTGCAATCCTGTAGTGAAGAGATGGAAGAACATGTAGTCGGCTGGCTGACCTGAAAAGACTTCATTCTCCAACTGTAATGAATTACGATACAAGAAATACGTATTGAAAGCAAAACCAATACTAAACTTGTTGAAAAAGAAACATGTCACTAGTCTCCATAGCTTTTTTTTTTTTCAAGATAGCATCAGTGATGAATGTTGGGTTTCGTTAATAACTTTACCTGTAATTTGTGTTTGACATTAGGCCAGTACAAGATGAGAGTAGAAGGCTGAATCAGACCTAAACCAGAGATGGTGGTGGTGGCTATGGTGAGTGTAAACAGAGCCTTCGTAATAGGTGGGATAGAATTGTACCAGTCTACAATCTCATTACGTTGAGGTAATTGTTGTGGTGGCATCAATAGTGAAAGAAGAAATAAAAATAAATCAATCATCATGCGACACGCGCTTCTTTTTATATTGTGACTTTTGTTTTTCTTGTCCCTCTCTTTCTTCTTTGTTTCTTTCATGAACTCACAAGATATAAGGGGCACGCCTCATAGACAACAACGAAGATCAAGTACAACACCTCATCGTACACCCGCGTTTATTCATATTTCAAATCATTCCAGACCTCAATTCAAGCCTCCTAAAGCACTTGATTTTAGCTCGCTTACTCGACATGCAAGCAGCTTTATGACACACGATCCCGAGAAGGAACCCATCAAGGCAAGTAGACCTAACATCTCAATCTAAACTTATTCTACTGTATAGGCTTACTTGAGAATTCGCCCTCAATCAACACACTATGATACAAAATCACCTTATCTTGATATTGTGGATGATGTACAAGTGTCCATGACCCCACCTGAAGTAAGTACTTGTATCTTGCATCATCAACTCATTA